GGGGGGCACAAGGGGGGACTGGGGGGGGCATTTGCCCCCCCAGCTTGTATGTTAAAAAAGGCCCTGTTGTGTCCGATGGTAAATTCCCAGAAGTTGTTTGGGGCTGTTTACAACATTGATTTGGGGAGAGAGGGGGTGACGAAATTTGTTTGGTCCTCGTGCATTAACTGGAATGGTCTCATTTGGTTATGTCCAAGATGTCTCTCTTATTTATTTGCCTCCAAATACACGAATATACTCCATAATGAATGAACATTATTTATCTGATAACCGCATGCAAGTTGACCTCTATCGGTTCGGCACGAGCCGTTAGTGCTTAGTGGAACCTTCTTCTGACACGTACCTTCGTATATCGATGTGCTTGATTCGGAATTTAGGAGAACTCAGACTGGTGTTTTTTAAACTTTTTTTCAGGACTGAAGAATGATACGTGCAGTTTGCCGATAAAAATACCTTCAAAAGTGGAAATATTTCCTGAACGGCTGAACTGATCATGTCCTGTGATGTTTTACATGCATGAAACCAGATGAGACCAACAATGTCACCAAAACGTAAGTTTTTTTGTAGGCTTGTTCTTGGTATAGCCAATGCGAGGTGTATCTAGTGTTACTTGAGTACACTTATAAACAAACGTTCCCACCACTGTCTGAAAACCGAAACAACTAAGAGGAAGTTTATCACAATGACATGTACTACCAGGCCCTGCACATTTCTGATCGAGTTCACATCTAGGCTGAAAAATAAAATCATTGATGAACAAATAGGCTTTATTTAGAGAGCTAGGTACCCTTTATTATCAGGATTTTGGGTGTATTGATCGACTGTAAATAATTGATTATGTGATGTCCCAAAAAAACGAAAACTATTGAAATAACGTATTGTTAGAATTTGAATGCCTCAGCACTCTGCTGAACCCACACGTGCATCAAAGCTTGACATAAGTAAATTTTATGATGAATAAAGAAACCGTTTAAGAAGCTGCCTTTAAATTCCCAAGAGCAGAAAATCGTGCGCTTTACAAAGATATTATACAATTGCTTTATGGTTTTTTGGATGGCCTGATCCAAACACGCGGCAATGTTGCGAGAGTTAAGAAAAGCGCGCGAAAACACGAGCCGAAGGCGAGTGATTTTGCGCGCTTTTCTTAACTCGAGCAACATTCCCAAGTGTTTGGATCAGGCCATCCCAACACGGAAACCATAAAGTAATTGTTTTATAAAATAACAACAACACGATAGTCTTCCGTGTTTGGATGGCCTGATCCAAACACGGGTTTCGACCAATCAGAGCACGCGTTATATACATGTTATTTTATAATTTAATTTCTTAAGTCAATATTTAATATATGCACCCTTGGCAATATTTTACGCATCTTTGCGTTCAGCTTAGTGCTAGGGCATTCAAATTTTAACAATACGTTATTTCAATGGTTTTGCGGGGTTCTTTGGGACACCATGTAGAGGCCTAAATAAAAAGTCTACGAAGATTTCTAATAGGTCTCTAGCCTAAAACCTTTTAAATTGTTGTAATATATTTTAAGTAGCTTTTTTATACATGGGAAAAAAATTTTTAAAAAAATAAGATGCCAAAAACCCTGATATCAGTTACCCAGAGGGCCCTGAAGGGGTAAAATGGGAACTGGGATTGATCTATTTTTAGACTGGGAAAATGGGATTTGGGTTGCTGGGACTGGGATTTGGCCACTGGGAATGGGAAATGAAGTCCTCAAAAATGGGAATGGGATTGAGGTAATGCGAGTCGATTACCAATTTTTTTGCGTTTTGAGTATTTTAAAATACAATTTTGATCCGTTTTTGGTGTCTTTGGTCATGATTTTTGTTGTTAACTATATTATTCACAGCACTACCTACGAACAGGCATACTCTGGCGCCCGGAATTCTGGGTTTTCTGATTATGCGTGTCTCAGAATGCTGCAAATGCCATTTCCGGGATTCAAATTTAAAAATTTAGTAAAGTGTCAGCCACTTGCTTAAAAGGTCTTAAAACTGTTTATTCTACCGATAAATAAAGGGGTTTTTATTGACTGGGATTTCAATAACTGGGACTGGGATTTCTAATAAAAATCCAACTGGGACTGGGATTTTGCCAAAATTTCAGGTGGGAAATGGGATTGGGAACCCCCCCCCCTTCAGGACCCTCTACCCATACACTTATAGCTTTACACTTGCATGACCTTAATATGATTACGTTAACCACGATGTTTTTAGAATGTATATATAGTTGCATTTTTCGCAGCTATACTCTTGGTTATAGGTCTAAAATGTGTTGAACTTATGACTCGAAATTTCCATCTAGAAAAAACCTTCAACAGTTATACCCTCTATTACATAATATCTTGAATACAATGAATACACATTATACTCCCAAAAGAAAAATTAATAATTGTATTTGAGCGATCTAGCCAATCTTATATACTCGCCCAAAACCACCCATTAACATTAATTGAGCACGAAAGTAAAAGCAGATACATATGAAACTGTATAAGTTATTAATTGAGCACGAAAGTAAAAGCAGAACTATTAAGCAGATACATATATACCTTATGAAACTGTATATAAGTTATTAATTGAGCACTGACGAAAGTATAAAAGCAGATACATATATATATACCCTCTATTACATAATTGCTGCCGAAGGCAGCACTCCTAATCTTGACATGAAGGTTTCTCCAGAGTTCACTCGACCCAGTTTTTCGCGCCGATCTATGTATTGTCGAGATGTCGATTTGTGTCTGTCCGTTAAGATGTCGTATTTCCGGGGGGGAACGGACGGGGGGAGTGCGAGAAAAATATCAAATTGCGCGTGTACATATTTATATGGTTATAGTATATGCAAACTTATTCTGGATTTCACTTGATGCAAAATATACGAACATTTCCAGAAGAAACCAGGTAAGTATGGCTTTATTTCTTTGTGCTAATATCCATCAAGGCTATGAATTATTTAGCGTTCATTCTGGAGGCAAGCAATGTGCTTTCATGTCATGAGTTTACGGCGCTTCTTAATACAGCCCGAAATATTCCCATTGTCCGTATGGTCGTTTAGAACATTTGATAATGTTTATAAATACAAGGAGACAAGATGTACTTTAAGAGCTCTGAAGTATTTCATGAATTTACTGGCAGTGTCTAATAGCCCACCAGATCTATTCGTCAATAATGCCTTATTTACGAGTCACAATGTACTCAGTTTTAATATTTGTTTGTTATGTGCCAAGACGATGAGTAATAGTTTCATTTCTAGATGTTTATAGTTTAACAACAAACGCGGAATGCTGTTAAATCAGGCTTACTGTGATAAGATCCCTAGAGCAACCCAGTGTGGATTGTTCTCTGCACATATTAACTTTATACCAGCAATATGATTACATGTAATAGTATGTCAACTGATTTTTTATGACTGTGTGTTTATTGTTAGCATAATATGAAATAATCCTACCAGCCTACATTCATATATATAATATATTCATCTGGCTGTGTCACTACATTTCACAGTGTATTATATTTTTCGATAAATTATGTTCACAATTAGAAATGTCAACAAATAGATATTGTCTCCCCATCAGCATATTGATATTGTTCTGTTGTCAACTTGTCAGCCTTGAAGGTGGCATATTAAAACAATAATTGGAACAAACCCCGACTTAGGGCCTGTTTACATGGAGGCGAGTTACCCGGCAAGGCGAGTTACTTGCCCAGGCGGGACAAACAAGCGCTCTGTTTATATGGAACCAAGTTACTTGGCATTTGTCGCATGATTGCTGCATGACAATTAAGTCGTTTTAAACGCTAAAAACATTACAAAATATAGTGAAAGTGCAAGAATAAGCGCCGAGCAATTCAGGAAAACTTATCTATCGATTTGTTTGTATTTTTGAGCTATTATATTGCAATGGCAAAGCACATATTACATTCTATCTCGGGTGACCGAGTTACCTGGGCAAAGTGTTTACATGGAAAGTATTCATCTGGCCTAGGCAAGATCCCGCCTCTTCCTGCCGGGAACTCGCCAAGGCGAGTTACTCGCGCCTTGCCGGGTAACTCGCCTCCATGTAAACAGGCCCTTAGTATTTTTATATAAACATTGTACATAATAAATTCTTTGATTTTGTATGTTTGCATGGCGATAAAATATATAATAGTTTAATTTGTTTGTCGGGAAACACCACGTAAATTTATTACTGCAAAATATTCAAACCTGTACATTTAAACATTGTATCGGTATTCAGCGGCAAGCTAGCCATGGCAACTGGCCATACTGTATGCATGCTATACTGCCGATAAACCTGCATCTATTTGAATAATGCAAATCATTAAAAACTTGCATAGCATGACCTAGTGTTGCTATGACTAGCTTCACCACTGACAGCAGCCTAGTCCCAGGCTCTCTCTCTATTCGCTGCTTTGGTATATTTAAATAAGTCTTAAAAGTTTTATGCCTGGGTGCCTGTGCGGAACACTTCAGCGAGAGAGCCTAGCAGATTTCGGTAAAATGGTCCCTGATTTAAAAAAGTGGTCCCTGGCCTGGTTACCAAGCATACCGCGTTTGTAAAGAGAAAATGTTATGGAAATTTCTTTTGCGTTTATAATTAAGTCATTAGTTTCGCTCTAATGTTGTCGGAACAATGAAATAGGCTACGTTTCGCTACCATACGGTTAGAAAGGAATAACGGGGCTAAATATGACTCGTGTTTACTAAAATATAAGCCATATTAAATGCTATCTAGAAGCTTGAAAATTATGCCGAGTCTCCGACTAAAAATGTTTTGACAACACAGTCATGTCAGGCAAATATTTCCAATCTCCTCAGCTACTTATATTAAACCTGTCAAGTAGAAAGCGTAGTTTTGTATACCAGTATGGTCCAGTGTTGATCACAACTTTCACGACCATTGCTCAGACTCAGTATCGTAAATTTGTATATATTTTCTTTTTAGTTGAGCACATTTTTAATACAGTATGAATTTGGTTATGTAGACATCGAACATGATCAACGAACATTGTCGTATTTACAAGGTTATTTGTAAAATTATTTAAATTTTCGCCATATTAAAAATACTGAAATCTGCTAGGCGTTCTGAAACACCTTTAGCGGTGACGTCACACCTAGGTCCTAGTCTCGCACTACATGCACGTTTTTTTTCTCGCGCTTGCTTCAGAACGACTGGGACTAGGCTGCACTGACAGTATTATAATTATACAACAGCAAGACGTTATAAGCATTGAAGATATTCATATAAAACCGCCCATGCCAAGAAAGTGGAATTAGAACTTTCAGCCGCCCTTCGACTTTGTGCAAGATGTTTGATATTCAAATTGCACTTTTCCTACCTCCTGAACAGGCGTCTTAAGGGCTGTTTGCATGTCATGGAAGAAGGGATGATTTTGATGTATTAAAATATTAGTCACTCGGCTAAATGAAGTTCAAACGCTCAAATGTAGAGAAGTAGTTCAAATGTAGAGAGGATCTTGTGGTTCAAGAAGGTTATATTATGTTTGAACAAGCAACCTTTTTGTTTAATACAGTTACTAACCATACTGTAATCCATCTCTAGAAAATAGTGAAATTTTTTGCTGAATCATGCATCGTGACTTATTTAAGCACATCAAAATCATCCTGCCTCACATCTCCTGGCAAAGTGGGATCATATAAACAGCCCCTTATTCAGCAAATTGTGCATGCTGCCTTTAATCCCTTGGGGTTGAGGCAGCATTTTCCTTGCGGTAGTAACTTCTAGTATTACGAAACTGTAAGTCATTAATTAAGCACGAAAGTAAAAGCAGATACATATATAGGCTACCCTTTATTATAGGCCTACATAATATCTTGAATACACATTATACTTCCAAAAGAAAAATTAGTAATTGTATTTGAGCGATCTAGCCAATCTTATACTCACCCAAAACCATCCCGCATTAACATTAATTGAGCACGAAAGTAAAAGCAGATACATATGAAACTGTAAGTTATACATTTTCA